GTTGTGCAAGCAGTTTTTTTGGGCTTGAGGTGTAGAGAATGGGATCTGCGAAACGCAGTTTGAAAAGATTACAATTCGTAAAAATTCATCTGAAAAAAGTATACAAATTTTGGAAATATAAATTCTAAAACCCAAAATTTTAAAATATGAAATGTGCAAAAAAAAAAAAAAACTAAAGTAAGATATGAAAAATAAATTTGATTTTTATCAAGTTTTATTTATGGATTGCTTTTTTACTATCTTCAAAATGTGTTTTTTATTTTTGTTATTTACAAAACGTGTTCGTTACTTGAACAATAATGGAAGAAAATTCTCTTCACAAAGCTCCGCTCTCTGGAGTTTATAGCCTTGAACGTCAAGAGCTACAACCTGGTCTGAGACCACAAGAGATTTGAGGTTTGTTTAAAAAAAAAATAAAGTTTTATGAAACTAAACAGTTTTTTTTTCCCAGAAGAATAAGCATGTAGTACTTCAGACCTGAGTTCTTAACTTCTTGAGGAATCTGCTTGAAACTATCAGAGCTACACTTTGAACACATCCTGCTTTCTGATCATCAGTCAGTCCATCATAGGAACTATGGTCTCTGTCCTTCTCCTGTCCAGCTGACGTGGCTCGCTCCATGGGGGCCAAGGTTGTGATCGCCATCGATGTTGGAAGCCGGAATGAAACCAGTCTGACCAACTACGGCGACAGTCTGAGCGGCTGGTGGCTGCTGTGGAAGAGGTTAAACCCGCTGGCCGAGAAGGTCAAGGTACTCCAGCCTCGCCGCCGTGGTCGTTTTAAACCGGTAACTGGAAACGACCCACTTACAGAGACTCTCTGGCTTCTCCATCTAGGTTCTAAACATGGCAGAGATCCAGACACGACTGGCTTACGTCTGCTGTGTGAGGCAGCTGGAGGTGGTCAGAGACAGCGATTACTGCGAGTACATCCGGCCTCCCATCGACCGTTACGGAACGCTCGATTTTGGCAAATTTGATGAGATCGCTGTGAGCTTTCCTCTTCTTCCTGCACTCCTAGGCTGTTTTCTTTCTTTTTAGCGTGGAAATGTTTAGAGGTCAACCTGAGCTTTCCCTGGTCTGACTTTAGGAGGTGGGATACCAGCATGGAAAGACGCTGTTTGATGTGTGGCATCGCAGCGGGGTGGTGGACAGCATGCTGAAGGACAGACATCAGGAGGAGTTCCATAAAACCAAAGCTGGACATGTGAGGGATTTTTTTTTTTTATATTGATCTAGATCAGTGGTCTGCAACCTTTCATATCCAAAGAGCCTTTTGGCCCCGAGTCTGGACAAGTAAAAGCTGTTTAGAACCGTGAAATATAACCTGACTTTTTCAAAAAAACAGCCTATCCTTTTTTTTAAATGATCTCTGAGAAATTAGTTGCCATCTTAAACAACCAACAATTTATGAATTTTTAGCCTTTAAAATGATATC